CGTTCTTGTATTCTTGGTGCTGTTTTTGGCATTTGTCGCGGTACCTGTTGACAAGAACTTGACAAGGTGTCATTTCACGAGACCCCAAGCAACATCCGGGATCATGGAAAGTGGCTAAAGCTTATTTTGAGGAAAGACTGCGTCCAAAATTGAACCTCTTATATACTTAATAGTGTGCGGTAGGCACCTTTTTGTGACGTACATAAAGGAAGGCCTGTCTGGTCCTCCTTCGTGCATTCTGCTCAGGCTCCACTCTAAGCCCAGCTTGGCTCGGGCCTCTCTTGTGTCAAAGCTGAATAAGCCCATGTACCCTTTCAAGTCCTGTTTTGGTGCTGCTTAACTGGCTCTCACTGTTTACCGAAGCACATCTTTCTCGCACTGCTCGAGGTATATAGTGACGGGCGCCTGAAAACAGGCACGGTGCGTCATTACGAAACATGAGCCCCGGCACAGCTAGCACCTTCCACAGTGCTTACGTGACTTCGTAGCGGTTCTTACCCCAGAGGACCCTGGCCGTTGCAATTCCTCTTCACCTTCTGAACTTTTATGCCAAACCAATTATGCAGCAAAACCAAAGCATGCTCTACATTTCAGCATTTTAGCACCACTTCTCGGCATCATTTTCGTTGTTGCAATTCTTTGTTTGTTTGTAGTCAAGGTGGTTATATCAGAACATCTTTCTTGTCACTCATGATGCTTGCAGTAACTTCGCAGAATACGAAAACATTAAAACTGCATACAGCTGACACCGCAGTGGAATGACCAAAATATGCGGTTACCACTTCTGCTAGCGTCGGCCAGCTCACCACAATGCGACATCGGGACGTGCCATGTCACAGTGTCATAGGACGCCGGCTACAATTGATGTAGGAACCATTATACAATGCCTGTCTTTGTCGTGCACGTGTTTCACATGTACTTTGCCAACTGATGCAATCACAATAGTTTTTGTTGAAGGCTACCGAGTAGGTAGATTACAAATGCCTGTGCATTCAGCTAATTGGTGATTTCACTTGGCTACCCGTTTCAGTGGAATGTCTAATCTTGATTCAGTTGGTCCATAATTCATTTATTAGCTGGTTTGTTCGAAAGTAACTCACTCGGCCTATCTAAGGAAGCCTCAAGAAAAACCTTTGCTAAGGCAGCAGTAGCCTTGACAATTTTTCTTTTTGACACCGAGATAGACCACCTAATTTCGTTTTGAGCAAGCCAGCACACTGCAGAGGAGGAATGATCCAGATTTAGCATGAAGTTAGATTTTTCAGATGAGCACATTCCATTTGTATGTAAAAATAGGTGTCACATAATTAGAAAGACAAGTGAAACAAAAACATTATTAGGTGTTTTGGTTAAGAAATTTGTGCATACTTACGCTTAGCTTTTAGTATTTTGGGCACATTTTGCTTTGTAGCTTTGAGTTTATCTATTATAACTATTAGTTCACTTGGAGCATCTAGAACACATTCGTTTTGACTGACAACCGCACTTGGGCATCTATCTTATGTCTGAGCTGAGCCTTCATTTTTTTTTTTAGTTGAAATTTATCTCTCGCTTGGATCGATCAGTATCTACCTCATGTACTGAATGCCTTCTTACAGGATTGCGTTGCCACAGGAGACCTGTGCACTTGTGGGTGTTAGTGAGTGGTGTCACCAATCACCATGAGCCTTGCGCCCAGCGTGGGTTCAGACCCCCTGCATGCCTGGCTGTGCTAGGTGTCTCCATGTCAGATGAAACTGGGGTCTTGGCGGTTAACCTGGGGGGCCTTCAAAGGCCCGTCAGGTTAAGCAACACACCAGCCCAGCCCGCGCTCCGCACAAACAGGTGTCCTGCGTTGGGTCGCCCAGGACGATTCGGTCAGTCGCTTAGCTTCACCTCTCGTTTGTTCTGACGTTCTTCTCTATCCCTGTTTCCAACCTCTCATCTTTCTCATGTGACATAATTCTTTGAAAGTGAAGAGGAACTATATGGTCCTCCATGGGTTTTGGAAACCACCGGGGTGTGACATAATGACACCATATGCTTTACTATGAAAATGTCTCACCCTATGAGAATCCAATGGCCTTGGCACGAACAGGCTTTGTGTGGATGTAACGACTGGATGTACAGCAGCCTCAGGGTTTTTGCCCTTGAATAGGCCAATCTCACCAGCCAGTTTCGTTAAACCGCCGCTGTCACAATGCATCAAAGGAACTTTAGTCTTTCTGCATGTGGGAGAACCCTGCTGGTGCTTTGCACGTGACGATACGACACGAGCCGTATCGTGCACTGCCTCCTGTGAACTAAAGTTAGGACGGGATCACGCCTGCCTGGCGCGTGGAACGCTTAGTGGATCTGTCTATTGAGAAGATTGATGGCAACAATAGATGACTGTTGCCATCTATGGTTACGGACACCTGGAGCACTGGTCGAGACAGCTGCCTCGACTGTCTTGGCAAACCCGGTATCTCGGTGTGCCCACCGCAGCCCTCTCCATTGGTGCGGCATGACAGCTGTACAGTGTGGACAGTGTGATTCTCATGCATTCTCTCAGATGCATGGTGTATACACCGCTAGGAGAGCAACCTTTGGCACTGTGGGTGCGCTGGCGTAAATACATGGCGACAAATGTATTTTTCCTGGTAAAGTATTTGGCGACACTGTCTACTAGCATGCTTGCAGCCAGGCAAACAATGGTCGTGTTGAGGTGACTCGCATCCGAAATGTCCCAAGATGCCTCTGTCACATTTCAATCTTTGCGTTTGGTGTGCTATCATGAATGTGACATTTACAATAAAAACATAGCAGTTCATTCAAAATATATATTAAACATATTTGTAATGAATCTGTATATTCTTGTAGTTAAATTTCATTATCACTGCAGGGTCAAAAGGTTGATTCACAACAAAATTTGATTGTTTTATTTTTCTGGTTTTTTAGTGTATGGTTCCAGGTGCACCAACAAAAGACACAGGCATAGTTGCATATTACCACTCCAAAAGTGTGGGTCTATACACTATGAACCAACTGTATTTTTGGTGGTGATCATACCAAAAATAGCATGTTTTCATTTCAGCGGGTGCTGTTCGTGAACTCGAGAGACTGGAATTGGAGCTATTGCGACTTCAAGATGTAACGAGATTTCAGCTGCTCGACAGATCAAGGCCAGGTGGTGGAATATCTTCCTCAATTCTTTGGCGTGCTTTTTGGTTTAGACCGTGAAACTTCCAGCAGTGTGTTTGCCTTGGAATGCCAAAATGTTCAAAAAGGTTTTTCGTGTGAAGCCAGCCTAAAACATCTCTGTTTGCAAGATTGTTACAAGTTTGACACCCTGTTTCTTTTTTTTTCTTTTCTATTATAGTGATTTAGAACTGCTGTTTGCAACACCAGAGCCCGCGATCAAGCCCAGCACATCATGCGGCAAGCACCAGCAAAAATATGCGAAAGAGGGTTAGCAGACAAGACCCATCACGTAATCGATGCCACCAGACCAACAGCCCAAAGGAACGTATTGTATGCAGTGATGCAGTTGTCGTCGCTAACCTGTCTTGGCCACGATATGCCGGCAGCGGTAGGGTCCAGTGTTGCCCATGGCAAGAACAAAGGCTATAAAAAAATATAGGAGACAAGTGAACATTGCAGGATGTGCTTTTGCCATTTGTATTGCAGCCACCGACAGCTTGTCGGCTACCCTTGAATAGACCCGTTTCAAAAGTGTGCACCATCTATAGACCAAAACGCGGCCCTGACGTCACGCAGCTGATGTGGCGCTGTCGACGGCACTGCGCATGCGCAGACGCTTCACTTCACGCGAATTCAGTTTCTACGCACGCGCAGTGCCCACACCAGGTGTGGTGCGAACGCGGGCTTGTTTGCAAACAGCATGTCGGCCTATACTCTGTTCACCCTTAGCTACAGTGCCTGGCGGACCCATCAGCCGCCTCCCTTTTATCACCCAGCGATGTGATTGCTGCGCAATTTGCGCCGAATACAACAGCTGCATGGCCTCGGTATCTGGCCGGATCGTTAGAGTAGGCTTCTGCACATTTTCAGGACTTCCGATGATGCGTCAGATAACGTACAATTCAATTTGATTTTGCACCGACCATTGACAGTACTTGGAAGTTTCGCATTAAGTCTGGTGGTCTGTTTTGTTGGGTTGGTTAGCTTCGTTGAGTGCGCTTGACACCACAAGGTGGCGTACTGCAGTGAAGCGACAATTGCAAACTAGGCGTCGCGATGTTGTGTGTCTTGCTTCGCCGCAGTGCACCTGCGTTCTAAGGGTAAAGGTACTCCTCCAGAGCGAGTCGTGGTGCAAGAACTGTGGACCCTTTCGTAGGTTTATTTTTATGCGTTGTTTTTGTCTCATTTAAGAATTTCAGTTTTTTTTTAACCCCCCCCCCCCCCCCTATAACTTGAAGGTTAGATAAATCTGGGTACTCAAAATGATTGTATTTTAACATTTATTCAGTGGGATATCGTACCCGATATAATCATTCACGGCAGTTTCCGCTGTCCTTCACCAGCCGTCTTGTTACCGTGTCTGGTACTTCCACATGCAACTAAACAGCCAGTGTTTGTTCTCGTCCTATTATTTGCCGTCTCTCCTCCTCACATTTGGAGTGATATAAATGAAAACGAAGTGTGTGGTTATGCTGCGAAAGCTGTTTTTGCTTCTACAAAATGAACTTTTGGCTGCTCCAATAGCTGCTACAAAATGACTACGACCAATCACATCACTGCTCTCGCCACCTGACCCCGCTCTTGTCACCTGACCCCGCTCTTTGCGCGTGAGTATGGGCATGGGCGGGGGCGTGATGACGTGGCGAAACAGAAAAAGAACTGGTTTAACGAGGACTTACCGCCGTATTCATAAACATTCCCCCACTCGACTCCAAACTCGACTCGACTTGAGTGGAGTATGGACGCGCGACTCCACTGGAAGTGCCATTCGTATTCACAGACGCGAATCGGCACTCACTCGAACTCGAGATTCCGTTCTCCACTCCAACGAGCTTGAGGACGTCTGGGAGCGAGAATATAGCCAAAGGTTTTATTCAAAACACCATTTTCACGTGAAAAATAAACATATTCGTTCGTTTTATCTAAAAACGTGTACCATACAAACATCGAATTAGTGAACTACGAAGTTTAATTAAGGCAGCGTAAAGTTTAGACGTGTTTGAGCGACAAAACGGACAAAGTCGTTATCTTGTCTGGCAACAAGCGCATTCGCTGGCTGCGTCTTGTCGTTCTCTCGTCGACGGTCGTCCATCTCACGGTTTGTCGATCTCGTCTCGGTCTTTCTTGATTTCGCCCCGTGCAGCCCTGCTTCGTCGCCTCGCCGCCTCGCACGACGAATCATGGAGGACCCCAACGGCAACGACTCGGAAATGGCCGATAGCGAAGAGCGGGCAGGGGCTCGTTTTATTTATACTGCGGAGGAGAAGGCGCTCCTCCAAGCGCTCGTAACCAAGCATGCGCGAGTTCTGGAAAGCAAAAAGACAAATAACTACTCGAAGGAGGCTAAACTTAAAGCTTGGGAGAAACTCAGCACCGAGTATAACAGCCAGCCAAACGTCCGCCCACGAAGCGCTAAGCAACTTAAGAAGCGTTGGGAGAACGAAAAATCCAGGTACAAAAAAACGAAGTCCGACGAAACGAGAGACATCCACGCCACGGGTAAGTCAACCATTTGCATATTTGGTAAACCGTTCCCGATGTGTAAAAAGTAAACATCGGAGAGAAGTCCTTTTCGGCCAGAACAATGCTATGTGCACGACGTCGTGCACCTTGTTGGGTCTCGTATAAAACAAATTGTCAAAACGAGTTTTTCAAAGCTGTAGCGTAGCAAAGTCCGCTGCATACGCAGGCAGCAGATCCAGGTTCGATCCAAAGTGGGCCTACTACTTCTTTTTTGTTTTTACATATTTTTCGTAGAACATTTGGCGTTATTGACATTTCTATTTCTACAATCGCCACTGAAAAAAAAAAAAGGGGGTCTTCGCATCTTGCGGGAAGCCTATTCTAACAAAGTGCCCAGCTTTCAATTGCCCATAAGAAGGTTCCAGGTGGTTAAATGTACTCCTCCACTGGGTTGTGCCAGATTCTTTGTTGGGTTCGCTCTAGTCCCCCTAATAATTGTTTTTAACTCGCACGGAGGCATTTCGAAAATTCAGTGTGCACTTTGAATTGTTCGCCCCATACTTTGTTCACTCTCTCTCCAATGTGAGCTTCGAATTCTTTGGTTTCTGTCACAGGAGGTGGGCCACGAACAAGCCGCCCGATGAGCCCCTCACTCATCCTTGTGGGAGCGGCGGCAGAGCACATGGAGACAGTGGTGACGAATCTCTGTGACAGCGACAGGGCAAGAGAACGGCCAGTGCTGTCGCTGCCTCCGGCCGCTATGTTGGAGGCGATGGTGCGAGGCACTGAAGGCGATGACAGTCACGCCCGCTGGAACGACGTGCCAGGTAACTGGGGTCTTTTGGATTGGGACAAATTTGCACCAACATGTTGAGGATGAGTACTGTGAGCCGTAACATGTCTACTTGTATTTGCGACTCGTATCATTTTAACAACAAACCTGGAACAAAAAAAAAAGCAGGCACCCAAGCCTTTTCCTTTTATTGCTCGGCAACATCTACACTATTGTACATATCTTCGAAGCTCCAAAATTGAAAATGTGAGCAGTGGGTCGCGACGTAGTACTGTAAATTGAAACCAAAACTAGTGGTTAATAGACCTGTTGCAAAGCGTACAGCGCTACGACGGCAGAGAATTTTGGGAAGACTCGGTGCAGATCACGTGCCTTCTCGTTGCGCTTCCGCGACAGCGAGCGAGTTGCTGCAGCTGCCGCCAGCAGCAGTCGCAGCCATCCGCCAAACCGTCGTTGGCGGCGTACCGCATCTGTGGCAGTGTAAGCGCATCTCTACAGGTGAAGCTATTCACCTATTTAAATACTTTATTCATCGCAACTTACCATCACGTCTTGCAGTGTCACCGAATCCACTTATTTTGCACCGCAACCGTGGCACAGTTCGACTAGGCTTCAAAGAGTTTGTGTAGCAATCGACGGAGCCGGTGCAAAGGAGAGGGATAAGAAAAGGGCAGCCTCACAAAAGATAGCCAATGAGATAACCTCTCGCATTTCTGTGCACCTGCTTGCGTATGCCACATGGTAGCAGGAGGAAGAACAATGGGACGGGCGTACCTAGGAATCTCAATATTCGTCTCATGGCACGCGCGGGCTTATGGGATTTTTCAAAGGGTCTATTGGTATCGAGAAAACATTGCGGGGCACCTCTCCAATTTGAGCGCTTCTATAGTTCTGAAATTTTTTTATGGACATATTTTTTTTGCCGAGCATTCATCAGCGATTGTAGGTCTTTTTTCCCAAAATTCCTTCATGGAAATCTAGTGCTAGCGACGCATTGCACTAATCCATTTTACAGCTGCTATATATTTCATGGAAAAGTATGAAAGGTGACAACCACAAAAGTCTCGTCCCATTCACGAAAAATATCTAGCACAACAACAATGAGCCACATCGTAACACTTGCACTGCTGTTACGGGCAACAAAAAAAAAATGGAGGGACACAAATAAATCTCCTTGCATTCTGCTACTACAGAGCCTCCGCTGTTGTCAATGTTGACAATGTAAACACTGCTCATTTGAGGAGCAGTTTAAGCTGTTTAAAAATTAATTACTCATTCAGGGAAGTATACAATATTAAGATTTTCTGCTAAAGATGTGTTTAAATCCAAAAGCCGATTTATTTGTTTTCCTGGAGATACAATCTGACCAGACAACCCATGTTGTAACATAATTTAAGGCAACAACCCAGGGACGGGAAAAAAAAACAACAGCACAACACACGAGTCTCAAACACAGCTGTGGGGGTTTGGAGACCCTATATACACACGAACCTCTGCGCTATAAATTTCAGCTGTGTTTGAGACTTGCGTGTTGTGCTGTCACTCTTTTCCCCAGTCTCGGGGTTTTCGCCTTAAATTTTTGTTAAACTTTCACCAGCTTGTTTGTGCCTCAACTTTTTGTTCACTGCTGCAAGTTAGCGACAAGCTTGCGCATATTTGCTCTTAACAAAGTGTCTGCCATAACAACTGTCTGAGTGTACACATGTTGTGGTGTCCCCTTTGAGGAAGGTTTACATAGTGCAGTTACTCTTGTTTGTTTCTCAGAGAGGAATTTGATCGCATCAGCTGTCTGACATGGCAAGGTCTGTCGTTAACCAACTGAACAAAACATGCAATCGGGGCAAAAACGCATGTAGTCAAAGCACGACGTGAAGGTTGAAGCAGAGGGACACAAATTTTATGATAATGCAACGGTAAACCATCCACAGTGCTGGAACTGGTGCAGAGCATAACCCATCGGACAGGTTTTGTAGTTTGCCAACGCCTAGCTTTGAACATTTCTGCAAAAGGCCAATGTGGCTGTTGGGCCTCTTCCCCTGTGTACCTGCTCTTCCCCTAGCACTCACAGTGCCAATGTGTTCTGCATGCCCAGATGCTCCTGAGCCGTCCGCCTCACCTCTCCAAGAGAGCAGCGTTAGAGCTGCGTATGCGACTCCGCCGGCAAGGGGCATTACCTGCCCCCGTGCTGAGCTGCCAAGCGGGGCATCCAGAAAAGCTGGGAACCGCATCGCAGCATTGGAGCGGATCCTGGCTCCCGAAAAGGATGCCCGTGTCGACATCCTCGAGAGGGAAGATCGGCGAAAGGAGGCGCAACATTTAATGGAGATGCGCATACTCCGAAACAAGCTTTTTGAGCAGCGACGACGCGGACGGGCAGAGTTCCAGCTGCTCCAGCTGGAGAGAGAGATAAAGGTGGAGCAGCTGGCAGCCCTGCGCTGCAAGCAACAAGGGTGTGGGAATCATGATTAAATTTGGGTTCTTTCAGTTTATTAGCATTCTGAGGATTTACTTATTTATTTTAATAATGTGCGCTACATTGTAGTGAAACGGTAGAACCAAATGTGTTTTGCATATTCGGAAGTTGAATGAAACAGCACACTAGAATTGAAGGAAAGGGCAGGTCTTTCGTTAGCTCTGCGCTGGCCACAAGTCTTTCCCAGAATATGTTTAAGTGACCGAATACCCGGAATTTGATTTAAGAATCAATTTATTCGAGAGCTTACTACTGGATTTGTGTCCGAGTATTTGCACGAGTCAGTGATGGGTCAAGAACGGAGTACAAGCTGGAGAGGAGAAATAGGACGGAAGCTTTAAGTGGTGAGGAGGTTTCTCCTCTCCACCTCAAGCTTCTGTCTGCTTCCTCCTCTCCAGCTTGTACACTATTCTTGACCTGTCATTGACTATGAACATGTGCTTCTGCTTGAATATCTCTATTGGAAACACAGTGCGATCATCTGTGTGCGTTTCAGCGAGCCGTTGATTGTGTCGACAGGGTCTGGAGGTGATGGCAGTACATGAGGACGCAGCCGCCTCCGGCGTCGGGGGACTGGTGGAGAGGGTAGAGCGGGTGGGCATGGCTCTTTTCGCAGCCGGGCCAGGTTGTGCAGTGCAGCACAGGCGGTGATGATGAGGGCTGACCGTTCCGCCTTGTACTGCAGCCGCATGTCCAGGCATGGGAAGCGTCGCTTGAACACTCCAAATGCTCGCTTGACCGAGTTCCTTGTTTTTAGGTGAGCTGCTTGGTACCTATATGGTGCAGCATTGGTAATGGAAGCAACGTTGCAAGATAAAGGTCTTCAGGTGTAAAAATCGCCACTGCTGCAACCATCAGTATGGTTCAGTAACCTGTAGAGTATGGCCCATCCGTGCTGGCTGCATTTTCAGCATTTTCTATTGCTTGCCAGAGGCTACTGTTCTGCATACAGTGTGGCTTTGGCTGGTGTTTTCTACATTACCACCTTAATTCAAGTTCTTGGCCCTAATCCAATTCTAGTGACAAAGAGAAACAATTGACACTGACTAACTGTGAAGAACGACAAATGTTCCCGAGAAAAAAAAAAGAAAACTAAAATCTTGTATGCTACATACTTTTGAAAAAAAATTTGTCCACAGGAAGTGAATAATGCCAGCTTATTTTGCCATACAAAGGCCCAAAGGTCATGAATCTAGCTGTGACAAAGATTTGCAGAACTAATAGTAACCAATAGGAACGCTGTGGCTATTGCATCACTTCTTGTTAGCTGTTCTGAATTTTATGCCATTATTTCTTCCAACAAACTAGTACATACCTGCCCTTTGGGCTGTTGGCTACACCTGGGCTGGTCAGGGGCGTCAGTAGAAATGACATGCAGGCATAGCCTGCATCTCCGAGCAGCAGGCCAGGGATGCGCCGATTCTCGTACAGGACCCTTGCACGACTGTTGTCGAATATCCTGCTGTCATGCACGGAGCCTGGCCACCTAGCAACAAGGTCAAAAAACTGCAGCTGGGGTCCTGTGATGGCCTGTGGATAGGAAGGAGCAGTACAGGGATGAGCAGGTTGCCATGATAAGAACACAGAAGTGCTCAAGCTGAAATTTCTACTATGATTAGTATATTTTTGACAAAGTGCATCTGCAAGCTTTGGAAATTAACTAGCATTTGAGTTCTCGCAGTTGTATGTGACGTAAGCTTCACAATGTGGTTTTAATTCCTAGGTTTTTCAGGCGGTATAATAGAACAGAATTTGAGCACGGGATAAAATCTCCCTAATATTTTCTTCGAAAAGTATAATTCAAGGGGAAAATACTATGAAGCATGAGCGTTTGCTATAAAATAACAAAAGCCATCTCGGCACCCAATCAAATGTATGTTTCAAAACACACAATACAGAATTCTTGGTTTTGAACCCTCTCTAGCTGGCCCACCACCACTCTGCACTGTCGCAGAGTACAGATCTCTTCACAAGTTCTAGTACATATCAGTCACAATATCGCCGAGCTTTCACGTGCGACGCCGCGTCTTGGCGTGCCGTTGTTTTCAACTTTTTCGCTGTCGCTAACAGCACAAACAGAAGTGAACTTACCTGCACGTTGAGGGAGAAGAACCCCTTCCTGTTCCTGAAGACTTCCCCATTGGGACCGCCAGGTCCCTTTATTTTGACGTGGGTGCAGTCGATGCACCCAGTCACACTGGGGAACTTCCCGATGTTGTAGAAGTCCAGCATGACCTCGTCGCAGTCGCCCTCCGGGAAATCCACGAGGCGGGGGAAGAGAGTCTCGGCGAGCACCCGGGAGACGCGCTCGATCACGCGGCACACCGTTGGCTGCGACACGTTTACGAGGTCGCCCGTGACTACTTGAAAAGTCCCGGCGCCATAAAATCTCAGCGCTACGAGGAGCTGGAGCATCGGGGACAGTGGCAGGCCGCGACTGCTCTCGTTTGCTTCCAGCGGCAGGCACTGCAGGAGGCTTACAACTGTCGATTTTGTAAAACGATAGCGCACCAGGAATTCCCAATCGTTGAAATGCTCCAGCGGATTGAGCCGGTCCCGGCAACGTCGTCTCGGCACATCGACGTCCTGGTCGGGGTCTCGGTCGTCG